CTGAACACCGTGATTACCTCTGCATTACCGAAAATGCAGATACAAGCACATTCTCCCCTTGCATCATAGTATATTGCTTCCATCAAGAACCATTGATGGAATCAGGCTGAAATACTGTAAGGCAGGAAAGATCATGAGGACAAGATCTAAATTGGATAGGGTTAGGCTTAAGATAGCAACAATAATAATGGACTTTGTGGGAGGAGTCATTTTACTCTATGGTGCAAAAAGAGAGACCAGGATTTGAATCAAATGTTCTATGAAAAAGATGTTCCATAACTCAGCTACAGGAGCATTACTACACCTGTGTATACTATATACATAGTAAAGATATATATATTTTTAAGAATTAGCAAATCAGGATACAAGACCTGGAAAATTATCCAACATTTATTTTTCTCCCCTGATACAGATACAGTTGAAGCACAGAAAATGATGTGTTTCATTTGACACTAGTAGATAAAATTCACACATTATAAAATGTGATGATGATAGGAAGAAAACAATCCAGCAGTGAGTGTATTCAAGCAATGAAAGCATCAATAATACATACATTGATAGAGGTATGCACAACTATTCAGGCTGAAATCTTTGCTATACAAATACATGGAAAGATATGGAAATGATTGTGCTCTAAAACTATTTCAGGCTAATTGAAATGTTAGATGTAATATGTATATATATGTATGTATGTATGTATGTATGTATGTATACACACACACACACACACACACACACACACACATGCATAAACATACTACACTCGAATAAGGTCATTAAAATTTTAAATGCCCCAAGCAGATTTTTTTTAAAATAAAATTTTTAGAGGACTTTGGCATTTGTTCTATGTTGCTTACTTTTAAAAAAAGGTCATAAAAGTAGTATTTTTGTCATGTGATATTAATACAAATCTTCAAGGAAAAAACCACAGCAAAGTCAATCTATTCCATCTCACTCCAGCGTAAGGCTTTTCTCTAGAGAAGCTTACCGTAAAGAAAAATGGCCTAAGTGCTATTACCTTCAACAATTCCTTCAATTCCTCCATGGTCTGTTTGTTAGCCACCTCATCATGGACTGTCTGACCACAATTCTTTACTACAGATTCCAAGACCTGCATAAAAAATACACAAAAGGTAGTTCCCAAATAAAGTTCAGAGACTTCTGGATCTCCTTTATAATGCATACCACCCAAATGAGGAAAACCTTCCTAGTCACCAGGCAGTGTCATTATACTTCTGCTTACCTCTAGTGCATAGAGCGCCACGTGAGGATTCTTATCATTGACTTTTTTCTTAATTGCGCCCACAGCATACTTGGCCCTGGAAAAACATAGGGGAGAAAAAGAACCAGTTCAGTCTAATGAAAGCTGCAAGGAAACTTAAGCCAGCTAACATTTGATGAAGGAGGCTGTGTACATGCCAAGACAAAACAAAAAAAAAAAGTCATATTATGACTAGACTAGCCCCAGACAAAGAAAATATCCCAAATGACCATGTCCTAGAACAGTGGCTCCCAATCTTTTCTATACTCCACACCCCTAGAACACTTCTGATATATTCTCGCACCCCTTACAAAAGATCGAAATAACAGCAACAAATTATGCATATATACTATAATTTTGAAAACCCTTCGCACCCTCTGGAATATCGTCTCACACCCTCAGTTGGGAATACCTGACCTAGAATGATGGACTAAAGGGCCAACCAGAGTGGAGCCAATTATATGCTTAGTCCCAAGTAGCAACCAAGTTCTGTTCTGGGATTTCCTAGGAATAATTAGCCAATTGAATAAAAATAAAAATTGCCAGTGAAATATTTTTAATATAAATCAATTTTACAACTGCATCTTAAATCAGTTATTCCTCCCAAAAAAAAATCCACTGTAAAGCTGTAAAAGATGTAGCAATGACCAAAACAAGGGCAGAGCAAAAAGGAAAAAATAGTGCTGAATGCTTAATTAACAAAGCAGATTACAATATAACCATGCATATAAGGGGGGGGGGGGAATGGATAGCAGAAAATATATTTTCTTTCACAGATAGTATTAGAGTGCAGTTTATTTACTGAATCTAAATGAGAAAACAACCTTATCCACACAAAATTAAGCTATGAAATTTATTGTAGTAAACAGTGATAACCAATGCAAATGATTTTAAAATGGATGAGCAAGATACACATTCAGAGGATAGGGCTATGAATTCATGTTGATGGCACTATTCATAGGCATCTTCAGGAGAGAGAGAGATGGGGATGGGACAAATAACAAAACTTGTGACACAAACCGCATGACTTACATACTTCTATACAACATTGGGGTGAAAGTATAAAAGCCTAGGATTCATGCTATGACGTCACAATACAAATATGTATCACCTTGGGTTGTCTAGGATGTCTAAAATTATAATCTATCTCCAAAATCAAAGGTAGCATATATATCTAAGGAGCAATAACAGAAAAAGGCTACCAACTTCAAATCCTGCTCATGAGCTTCTAGAATGGATCTGATGGGAGAGTGTAACACAGAGTGTGTATTAATCTGATCTATGCCCTGATCCAGAAAGATTATCCTTAGTTTCTATGTACTGGATAATAATTCCATACGTTAGTCAATGACTAATAGATATTAGTCATGTTAATTGGGATTAATGGGAGCTAAAGTCCATGTTATCTGGAGGGTAGCAAGCAATCATCCTTTTTGAGTGATGGCATTGGAATAATCCTGGAATCCACACTACAAAAGTGAGCAGGACTCAGGACAAAATATTAATTATTAATTAAAACTTTGAAACTAATATTAACATTGCTATACCATTGACATGATTGTTCCCTATGTATTTACTTTTTTTCTTTTTGTTATTAAAGATTTTCAATTTATCAACAATCTAGGGCAGTGGTTCTCAACCTGTGGGTCGGGACCCCATTTGGGGTCGAACGACCATTTCACAGGGGTCACCAAACAAGGCTGTCCGCCATTTTTTTCCCCTTTTCTTTGGCCATGCCCTTAGCACCCGGTGATATATAAGTGGTTGGGGGTCACCAAAACATGGGGAACTGTATTATGGGGTCGCGGCATTAGAAAGGTTGAGAACCACTGATCTAGGGGTTGCCAAGGATTTGGTGAGTTATACATAGGCCAGAGATCTCACACTGTGTAGCTCTGTGCTAGCTGATGCTTTATTTGAATGGCCCACGAGTGTTTATAGAACAACAAGGTCTTTAGAGACACAATGTAGCCAATACCTACAATTTTGGGTTTGGAAAATGGATAAACACAGATTCAAATTTCTATGTCAGCAGCACATTTCTTTCCACTCATGCTTTGCCTAAGTTTAATTGTAATGAAAGAATGCTTCTTTCGTCAATAAAGTGCATAAATATAGGGTAATGAAAAGATGGTAGAGTTCAGCACGTACTGGGTATCTCCCTGACGAATCATATCACAGATCTGTAGAATAGATTCCCAGTCTGTCTCCAGCAGAAGCTGACTTGTGGCCTTATCTGCAAGATATTAAAATAACAGTCATTCAGACGCAAATTCAAATTTATATTCACCATCAGAGAATTGATGAACAAAGGGATTTTTCTTCTGACAAGAATTACTAGACATGAATGAGAACCTCAGATCACAAACAATAACAGCTATTACAGTTATTTATTGTATGCTACTGCCAAGCATTTATAAAGAGTTTTTCTCAGCAAAGTTGACCTCTCGGTTGTCGAATCTAAGTCCAGCTATAAACATTTGCTCCTCCAACCATACTATTTATCATTTGTCCAGATATCTTATATTTTCTTTAATTACTTCATCTTTATCTTTCACAATAAATAGACTTCTTTAATCAGGCCACTCCAGAATCTCTATCAACAAGTTTAGATTATAACATCTTCACTTCTTTTGCTTTCCAATTCTTCCTCCAAACTTCCTTCTGTCATAAACTTTGGTACTTTTTCCAATTTATGTAGAATAAATCCTGGTTACATGTACATGTGCTTTTGTGCATATTTAATCTTTCTGCATATCACTCTCTCACCTTTAGTTTCTCCTTCCCTGTCATGTTATAAACTTCTTGAAGGAACTTAAGTATATTTTAGAATGGTATACTTTGGTATATTCTAATACTCCAAATTCAAATAGAGCCTTATATTTAAAGGGAAATGAATAGCTGATCATTGTCTTTTTCCCATCAGTACAAAAACACCAGTTAATTTGTTGACTGTTGAAAGGGGTTGATGTAGATTTTCTTTCCATTGATATTTGTCCTAATGCAATATGTTTTCCTTGATTCAGTCAGTACTTACTCTGTTATTTCCTGGTACAACCAGTCACCTTGTAGAACCTGATTTTAGGTCAGTGATGAGATCAGCAGCCTTGTACAATTACAAATACAGGAACTGGTGGTTTGTTTTTTTTTTCAAATTACACATTTGTATCATTCCATACGTTCAAAATATATCAAGCTGGTCAAAAGACCCCTGCCCTAGCTACACAAAGGAAAACTGAGGGAATAATAGTGAAATTCTGCAAACCCATCACATGACGCTAGGCAATATCACATTATTAATCACTCCAGTTGATCTCTTTGTCTCTAAAGTACAACCTAGCGATTTGTGGAGCGACGACAACCATCCTACGAATAAATACAGGAAAATCAATATGGGTGTATGGGGGGGGGGAAGGGCACAAAAGGAAAACGCTTCAGAGGCTTGACTGGTTTTCAGATGCAACGGAAGATCCCCCAAAAAGGAAGACGCAATTTACAGAAGCTGAAGGGAGGTCGAAGGAAAGCAAGCCATTAAAATGAAGGCCGAAGCTCTGAGGCAGGATTAGGCCACGGTTCCCTTCCCCCCTCAGTACCTAAAAGGCGCTCGAAGGTGCCACCGCCTCGCCCCATTGTGCTCCCCCGCTGAAGATCAGGCTGGACAGACCCACCGCCTCTCTTCCCCTCCAACGTCTCCGCAATTTAGGCCCCGCTTCCGCCTTCCAGTCAGCGGAGAGGGCGGGCTTTCCGGCGGCAAGCCTTAGCGATTGGGTGAAGAGTGAACGAAGTAAACTGTCGCTCCGAACCAATGAATGCTGCGAAGAACGTTGGCGACCGTAGAGTCTGCCTTGGTTGCTATGGGAATGGCGGGAAGCTGTTCTTCTCTCTACCTGCTTCTCGGGGCTACCGGGGTGGGAAAGTCGCTGCTGGTGAAGCGGCTGCAGAATATCCTTTACGGGGTCCCGACGACGAAGGGGAAAGCGGGGCTCGTGGGTCAAAGGCAGACGAAGTTGAGCAGGGCCTGGCGAAGAAGGGAAAAGGAAAGGAGCGAGGAGATGCTTTGACCAAGGAGGTGGGTGCGCCATGCCTCTTTGCCAGGCCAGAGAGGCACAGGCTCCAGGTGGCCTCTGGAGATTTCAGAAAGTGATTACTAAATTGTGGTTTTAAATGGGACATTAAATGTACGACAGGGCAAAAGGCGTCTTGGTTATATTTAATTTTAATGAAGTTTAAATGCAAAAGGAAGACTTGGAAGATGGGTTTCTGTCTGCTGCTGCCAATACTTTTTCAAGTGCAGCATACATACAATATTAAATCGTTAAATGCACACCCAGAAAAAAAAATTACATGGATTTGGCCTCCCTTGTAAGAATCTTGGGGCTAACAGTGGTGTGTGCAGTTAGGTGTCAAGAGAGAGGGATGAAATTTGCTTGATGTTTGGAATGTAGTTTTTTTTTTTTTTTTTTTGCTGTGTTGGGCAAGGATGAAGATAGGATCTTGTTCTTCAGCAGCCTTTCCTACTATATCCTGCTGTCTTCCAGATAATCATCTTTGAGAAATAATTCCATAATTCCCAGATAAGCACAGGTGATGGAAGACATCTGAGAGTATTGGTTTGAAAAAGGCTATTCTGGAAAAATTCAATCCCACCTGTATCTTACTGTATTGAATGTTATTCTTTCCTACCATCTTCCTTAACGTCTTTTTGATACAGCTGAGCTCCAAAGATGGGGCCAAGGACCTTGGAGAACCACCAGCTACTTTGCCAACGGTATGGTTTTTATTATCTTTGGCTCACTAGTTTTGGTCCACTGAAAATAATTCTTTAAATAGATCAAGATTGATTGGTTTGTAGAACTGAGCCCACATAAATAGTTGGAGCTGGTAGGTACAGTATATGAAGCAGTAGAAAACGGGATTAGGACACTCGAGTACATCCATACATTCTTATGTACACAACCTTAAACAGCCTTTTCTGTTCTCCCTCCCCTTTTCTCAGTATTATTGGGCAAGAGCGAGGTATATATTGGCTTCTGTATTAGGCTCTTTTCCTTAAGCTTGTCTGATGGCTGAAAAGTTGGCCATCAGAGTATTTTTAATCAGATTGCACAAACTGCTGAGGGAATGGCCATAGAGTACTATTTAGGTGTTGAATACAGTGGATTAATAGTAGAAACAATGTAGGATACCACATACTGTATGCTTAGATTTGTTTGTATTTTTCAGTAAACAATAGAGAAAGCTCTTTTTCTATGCCTTTAGGTCAGCCTTCTTTCCTCGCAATTGCCTAAACTAGTCCCTGGTTTTTTAGCAAGATTTTCAGAAGTGGTTTGCCCTTGCCTTCTTCTAAGGTTTAAGAGAATGACTGGCCAAAGGCACGAAGTTGGCTTCATGTCTAAGGCAAGACTAGATTTCATGATTCTAGCCTGGTGCCTTTACATTTACATTAAACAAATAATGAAAACAGCACACTTTGTCATGTTTTTATAGAACATTGAATCAATATTTAATATCTGTATTGGGGAAAATATTTGAAGCCTAGAATAATCAACCCAAGGAAGTTGAATTAGATGTTTCAATTAATTTGATGACAATCTAGGTGTGAGTTTGAGGGACTCTTCTCAATTAAGTACTTTTGGAGCCTTCCCTCCATGACATGGGCTTGTAGAAGTGAACTATGAGGTCGAAAGATTTTTGTGGATTTCAGAAAAAAACAGGTTGTTAAACATTGTATTGGAAAAGGTTTCAAAACAATTTCAACACTCGCCCATTAGTTCATTAGGCAAATAGTGTACAAATGAAGAAAGTGGAACATGACTGTTATTCTTCCCAGCGATGGTTGGTAAAAATCATTCTGGAGGAAGGCTTACAATACACCAGAAGGGTAAAAAGAATCCCAGGGTAATGGCGAAGAATTTGCAAATCAGTGTTGCATTATCTGTTGTCAGTGCTCATGAGATCATTATACAGAAAATACTGAACAAGAGTGATGTGCACAGGAGGTTACTTTTGGTAGACTGTTGCCTCTTTCAGGTTTGTCAAACACCATTTGGATGATTTGGCAGACTGTCGGGAAAATGTTCCATAGACAGCTGAGACAAAGGTAGAACTTTTGGGTGTTAATGAGAAATGTTATGTTTTGAAAAAACATACTGCATTCTAGCAGAAGAGTGCATAAAGAATAGGACTGCTTTCACCTTACAATAATTGAAAAAGCCAAATTTTGGGCTATATCAGCAAATTCATCAGGAAAATGGCACGGTATCTATCCACGAGCTGATGCTTAAATGAATATGGATCATGCAACAAAACAATAGTCCTAAAATACATATAAATCTACTAGAATGGCTGAAGCAGAGGACACTGAGTTTTGGAACAGCCACATTAAAGCTGTGACAACTCAATTGAAATATTGTGGCATCACCTGAAGTTTGTGTAAGACAGCCCAATCATATTATTAGTTATAGTTCTGTGAAGAGAGATAACTCAATTATAGCCAATGAGTAGGATTGATTAACAGGCGCAGAAAATATTTGTTGGAAGTTATCACTTCTAAAAGAAGTAACAACAATTACTTCGAGAATACTTCTTTATAAATTTTCCAATAAAGATATGGATGTTGGTTTAGTGTATTCACTAGACATTACACACTATACCATTTTATGTGTTGTTTTATTATCAGAATATCTTAATCTACCAATAGGACTGCATTGTGCATCATGGTACTGCAGGATTACAGATAGAGCTAAAAATAACTTTTGTTGCTGCTCTAACTGTAATTTTATATCATCATGCTCACGCTTTCAGACTTTTCATTCAAAGCAGGTTTTCCTCATGTAATTAAAGCCACTAGGTGGCCCTCAGGATTAATTCTTCTGGGTCAAACTTTGCTACCCTTTCTATTTGTTATGATTTTCCTTCCATTATGTTTTGTAATGTGTGTTAATATGGTGGTTGTTATTATGTATTCACCCATTAGTACCTGTGGTTATTATGTATTCACCCATTAGTATCCATCTCTCAGGGAGATAGGCAGTTTAAAAATGTGAAAATAAATAAATTGCTGAATTATTATCATTTTCCCTCCAGCATATGATTTTTCAGATGCTGCTTTTTCCAGTCTTGGTAAAGGGAAGTACCTGAGGACATGTTAATCATGTTAGTCATAGCTCAATATTATGTATGTGACATGTTTAAATCCTGAAAAGCATACCGTCAATGAAAACAAAAAAACCTTCTGGCACCGAGGGCTTTCTGAATTATATCAGACCTTGCACTGAAGATAGAATTCAGGTTTTTGAGGATCCCAAAAATAACTTTATGATATTGCATACCACAACTTTTTATGGAAAAATATGCAGGTTTTGCTCTTCTTAGAATTGGGAGAGTTAGATTACCATACCAGGATAGGGAACCTAATTAACAGAATAGACAGTATCTACAGTTCTGTGCACACATTCTTGGCAATAAAACCTATTGTAATTGTGATATATTGTATGCTAAACAGTCTCTGTACTGTGCAGTAGAAAATCATTCATTTGCACATCTGTGTATCTGTTTGTATATATTTTTACAGGTAGGCACAAATCTTACCGATCTCTCAGTAGGAAAGAAGATCACAGTTCGAGAGCTAGGAGGCTGCATGGGTCCTATCTGGTCCAGTTACTATAGTGACTGCCATGCTGTCCTGGTGAGTGTTCATTAATATATTGTGTATAATTCAGTGGGTAATTATTTTTATAATAAGCTTGCAAGGTTATAACCATTTTTATGATATTAAAAAAATAATTTGGGGTCCTACGAGCCAGGGTAGCATAAGAACAAATCAGAAAATGAAATCCAGACATACTGTGAGAAATGAGATCCAATTTTATTCCCAAGAACAAAAAGATTTCTTTTGGAGGTAGACTACAAAGGAAATGGGATCCAGAGGCTTGGTTTTATAGGGGGACTGGTCCTTGAGGTGAACAGGCAAGTGTAGTTTGTGTATGTGTTGGTTTTAACATGTGTCCTTTCTGTGCAGATATGCAGATGCTCCTGATTTGGGCTTTGATCCTGTGTGAAATACTAAAGGAAGATGGCCCTCAGATATGTGGAGCTCACCTCTGGCATCTCCTTTTATCTTGGGGGATCCCTGCTCTTTGATGGAGTCAGTTAGGATTGTATGTTTATTCTGGGACTGGTCAGCAGTTAAAAATTCTGCTGCTTAAAAAGGCAAGGGAGGGGAGGGAGGGGAGAGAACAGAGGCCTTTTAACTTCTATCAATGGCATACCAGTTTTTCTGCTCATATAGATGCAAAGGAATGAGAGATGGTGCTAAACAATGAATGTTTGTTTTTGAAAGGGAAAGTTAGGTCGGATTGGAAGAATGCTACTTGGAATTATTTTTGGTAGAGTTGAAGAGCCTGGCTATTGTGGTTATGCTTATCTTGTAACATTGGAGTTTGCAAAAAAAAGTGCAGTGTTGTTAATTGGAAAGGATAGTATCTGATGAAGGTAAGTGAGCAAATCAATGACAGACTCTTGACAAAAAAAAAAAAAGAGAGAGAGAGAGGAAGTAGAGCAACTACTCACTGGGCTGGAGGGTGTCCAGAGCTTTTTGGAAGCTATGGCTTTGGGAGCTTATTTAGCTGGCCTACATGGTACTGTACGTGTGCCAGTGAATGGGTTAGTCAGCTGCAATGCAGTCCTAGTAAAACTTTTCTTGTCCACAACTTGATGAACATACAGACCTAGCGTACTGTATATTTCCAAAATCTGGTTGTGTGAGGGCAGTGACATTGCTTTCTCGGAAATCTGCTCTCTGGGTTAAAGATCCAGATGTCTGGGCTGGGCAATGGGAGTATTGTTTTAATCTTAAATGACACCTTGTGATCAGGGACTCAGCACCTTCTCAGAGGGGTGAATGCTTAGTAAGGGCCCTCAAAAGATATTTAACTTTGAAAACAGACAAACCTGAATCATGCTATAAAAGAAGGGCTTAGGAATCGGATTTCTGCTGGTAAGCAACTTCTCGTTTTTAGGCCTGATTTTCTGACCCGTGTTTTTGATTCCTTGATTGAACTTTGGATTGGTACAAGAATATACTTAGCTCTGATTCTTGGAACTTGGATTTCTCTGCATGGAAAGCAGGCTCCTTGTTTATTTTTCCTGGGCTTTCACATTCCTGTACTGTTGTAAGATTTATAGCTGCCATAAAACCTCTGCCATAAAACAGTCTGACCTCTTGCACTGGCACAGACATTTAGAGAACTGGAAAGCAGAAAAATATATACAGGTAGTCCTTGATTTAGGAGCATAGTGGAATCCGGAATTTTGGTTGTAAATTATTGCTGTCATAAGTTAAAGCACTTTGTGATCCAACTTGATTTTATGACTGTTTTTTATCACTTTTGTAAAGTGAGTCATCACTGTTGTTAAGTGAAACACATGCTTGTTGTACAAACCACATGGTCATTAAACAAATCCAGCCTATCCACAGGTGGGTTTTTTTGTCAATTTTCTGCTGGAAACTGGCAAAAAACATTGTAAATCAAAGTCACATGACCAGGCAATGCTGAAGCTGGTCATAAAGATGAGCTGATTGCCAAGCACCTGAAATGCAATCACAAGACCACTGGGTGAGGGGGAATGGCAGTCGTAATTTTGAGGATGGGCCATAAGTAGATTTTTTTTTTGAAGTCTCTCATAACTTCATAACTGTCACGTAAATCAAGGATTACCTGTGTACTGCTCCTGTGACTGTTTAACACAATTTTTCATGAAGGCTGCTCTGATTCATCTAGGTCTTGATTCTTTGTTACCCAGAATGGGTTCTATTGTTTGAACTTTAATGATATTGATAGGGTGCTCTTTTCGTTGTCCTTGGTCAGTTGTGTGCTTCATCCCTCTCTCCCTTGGCTCCCTCAGGTATCTGGAAGAGAGGGAACAGACTGGGCGAGGGAGGAAATTTAATGTCAGTTGCTTGAAAGTGGCTGTGGTGTGTCTCCTCAAGAGGCACTCCCTGGGCCCATTTGCACTTGATAACTACCACTTCATCTCTATTCTTCCTTTTGTGGGGAAGAATTTTTAACATGGCTGTTAAAAATGTTGTTGGTATGCAGCTGCAGGGTGCTCTAGAGCATGGGTGCCAAACATGTGGGCTGCCTTTAGTCCACAACACTCCCAAATGCAGCCCCAACCATATTAAATTACTCTAGAACATTTTGCCCCTAAAATTTGATCAGTTCCCACTTTATTAAGCTTTCAGAAATTACTGAAGAGAGCATTATTCAAGGTTTTTGATTTGTGGCTATTTATTTATTGACTTGCTGATTCTGTTCTTCACCTGAGCAGTTTATTTTTTAATTTATTTTTTTCATTTTGTTGTATTGTTTAATTGTGCCATGGGTACTTTGTTACAATTAAGACTGTAACCTGCTGAAAGATTTTTTATTTTTTTTTTGCTATAAGTGGGCAAAAATGTCAAATAAATATAGGTAGTCCTCAACTTACAACTGTTCATTTAGTGACTGTTTGAAGTTACACTGAAAAATTGACTTACAACCGTTTTTCACATGACCATTGCAGCATCCCCATGCTCCTGTGATCAAAATTCAGACACCTGGCAACTGATTCATATTTATGACGGTTGCAATGTCCCGGGGTCATGTGAACTTTTGCAATCTTCTGACAAGCAAAGTCAATGGGGAAGCCAGATTCACTTAACAACCATGTTACTAACTTTACAGTTGCAGTGATTCACTTAATAAATATGGCAAGAAAGGTTGTAAAATGGGGCAAACTCACATAACAAATGTCTTGCTTAGCAACAGAAATGTTGGGCTCCATTGTGGTCGTAAGCTGAGGACTATCTGTAATCAAATATTCTCACATTTCTAATAAAACACCATGACTTGACATCTATATTCCGAGGGTTTTTAAGCAATTATAGATGTTCTGGGACATGTCAATTAGATTTATAATCTCAACATATATTTAATATATAAATCTAAATGTTTACGGCTATTGTTGCTAAGTGTCCCACTCTTATTTCTTAGGCTAGGGTGTTTATGTATTAGATTTGTATGATCCCCATCTCACATAAAGTGACTTTCATTGGGTAACTAACACAATGAAAACTTCAGCATAATAAAATTGATTATGTGCCATTGTTGACTCTCGACTCTCAGCAACCACATAGATTAAAATTGTCTCCAGGATGATCAGTCCCTAATCTGGTCTTTCAGACTGTTCAATGGTGCAATGCAAAATACAGTAAATAAAAACATACGGGAAAGCAAAAATGAAAAATGGCAAATCAGTAGCAAATTTGAACTACTTATGATCCCAACTACTTCCCAGCCACATACCTGAAAGAAAAGCCAGGTCTTAAGGACTCCGCAGAAACTAGCTAGGTCTAATATTGGGAGGAACGGTGCACCAAGGGCCAGGGAATGCTACAAGATGACACATCTCTTGGGCCCTGCCAAATGATACTCTTTAATCAATGGGATTTGGAGAATATTCCTTCTGCAAGATCTGGTGGGGCTGATAGACACTATTGGCATTCCTTTATAAGAAAAACTTATATAATCCTAAATATGCATGTAATGTGTTGTATATAGGGTAAACATATTTCTTAGACATAGGTATGAATATATTATATTTAGTATTCACCCTTTAATTCCCTTATTCGGGGTGGAGTTGGGACGACTGAATGAAGCTGAGCATTTACTGGCCGGATGCCCTTCCTGACTCCCATGTGAATTCTGCATAGGAATCAGGAAGGGCATCCAGCTAGTAAATGCTCAGCTCCATTCAATTGCCCCAACTCCATCTTGAAAAAAGAGATTAAAGGGTCATAAAAAATATAGCCTTACAGCCCATTGTCTATATAGATTATGAAATTGGGGAAAATTGGGCTTCAGTTGCACAGGCAAAGATTTATGCGTGTTGTTTTTCAGGTTGTGCTAAATTTTTATGTATTCTAGTTTTGACCTGGCAAGCAGCACAAATAGTGAAATAAGCAAACAAGCTTATACAGTACTTTAGGATATTATTTAAGTATATTGCTCCCTCTCTCCTGCAGTATATGATTGATGCTGCCAATCCTACTCAGATTTCCGCATCCTGTGTCCAGCTTCTGTCCCTCCTTTCTGCTGAACAGCTAACATCGGTTCCTGTCCTCCTCATTTTCAACAAAATGTAAGGAAATTAAGCTGAATTTCCAGACAGAAGACTTACATCAGTGGCTTTTGTCAGCACAGCAGGCAAATGAAAATGGGTGTATAACTTTTTTCCTCACTATTCTGATTCCTAGTGACTTACCATGCTACATGTCCCTGGTGGAGATGAAGTCATTATTCCGAATCCAAGATATCATTGCTTGTGCCAAACAGGTTATCACTGTGGTCGAGATCAGTGCACGGGACGGCAGGGGCTTATCTGATGTAATGAAGTGGTTGCAATCCACCCTGCATGATTGAAGTTGGAATCTGGAAATGCCAAGAAGCTGAAGCGTTTCCTGCAAGCGGCGGAACAACATTGCCATCACAAACTTTGATGTAGAAATATGTCATTTAAATTATTCAGTGGATTGCCTCTTAACTGGCAAATTGGATGGTTGCTACTGCATGTAGATGCATTGAAAGGGAATATTGAAGCTGCTAACGGTAAGCACAGTAATCATATACAGCATTGTATGATTTTCTCTAGGTATTTGTACAGATGAATTAATTGCAAGTAAACATGCTGCAACAGAGGAACCAATCAGGTTTTGTAGGCAACATGAAGTTTAATTTCACACAGTTTCTATGCTTTGTATTATTTTCTGGTCCATGAAATCAGATCTAATGGAAGTACAAAGCAAACAAATTCCTGTTCTATAACACACTAGAGATTCAGATTGCTCAAGTCTGAGTATCTTATTCAAGACTTTGTGTGCACAGTCTCTTGTGTTTCAGTTGTCAGTAGTTTAACTATTTTCTACAACAACAGTGATCTAACTTTGAGAACCAAAAATTCGTAGTCCTACCAAATATTAACTTGACGGGCTTTAGCAGATAGCTTTTGCCAATGGTGCAATCTCTGTTGTTCCTTGAGCCAGAAATTCCATCCAGACCAGTATACAGGGGTAACACTGACCTACTGAATTAAATACCATATACAATATTTGCTGTAGTGCATACTGTTGCTTTTCTGTGAGGTACATTAGAAATACCGTATGTTCTGGTGTATAAGACGACTTTCTAAATCATACAAATCTTCTCTAGGGTCGTCTTATATGCCCAGTCGTCTTATACGCCGGAAAATAGAGTATTTTCCGGCGTATAAGACGACTTTCTAATCATGCAAATCTTCTCCAAAGTTGGGGGTCGTCTTATACACCGGAAAATATGGTATGTTAATTTTGTGGTGTTTCCTTGATTTTAATTGCTTCTCACTAGAATCTCACATTCTTAGAAAATTTAGGTTTTTGATGAGCTCATACCATCATGTGAACCAGATTATCTGAGTCATGGGACACCAGCAAAAACGACATCTACAATGGCTCAGTAGATTATAGTTGAATTACAAAATGGGTGTGCAATGTAGCAATTCTAAAGTTCTGCATGACTAATTAGTTCTTTCAACCAATTAAAAATGGTGAAGTTTAAGATGTAACAAGATGAGAGTCTTACCAATATTGGATGTATTCTATTTAAAATTCAGTTCTTCTGTTACTCTTTCACGTAAACTTTTATCTTCTCAGCTTTCCATTTTATTCTCTTGTATCAGTGACCTCCATCAGAGCCACTAACCAATTATTCCAATTCAAAGACTCTCGAGAATCTTTGAATGGCTTGTAAGAAACCAAATATATACTAGGGTTAAAAGTAAGGAATATTTACAGAATGAATGCTGGCATTCAGTTCAGTTGTACCTCCTGCTGGACAATCACAAAGATGGTTCAACTAGAGGTGAACACAGATCACATTCTCTTCCTGTCTCACAAAATGGGTAGATTCAGCCCAGTAGAACTGACTCTCCCATCAAATCATGCTGAATCTCTCTGTATTCATCCTCCATAAACACCCAGTTTAATGAGAGCTTTAATTAATTGCACTGAATTCCTAATACCAAAAGCTGGTAAATTATGAATTCAATGCATCTGAAAGCTATGAACTAACCTATTTTATGCTGCTGCTTATTGGTGCTTTTTATGACAATGCACTAAATTAGACACTTAAATATTTTTCTGAAATAAATATTTCATAGAGTAAAAACTACTTACTGTGTCAATGCTGAAGCAGCTCGTACAGCATCGTTCTGTACAAGGCTCCTCATTACTTTCATTTTATTGAAATTTACTAGTAACTTTTAGTCATTTGTTCTTTAGAAGTTATTTAGTTTGCAGGACAAAATAAATTGTAGTTTTCCTGAGGAATTAGCTTGGGCTCAGAGAAGAAGCAAAAAATAGGGCCAGCAAGGGAGAGCTACCGACCTCCAAGAAGTAGAGCTGACATTAGTCCTGTTACATTGCTTTCTGAAGCTCTGATTCAGAAACATATTTCATAATTGATCATTAAAGTAACATTTCCAATTGTATAAATTCAAGCAAGCACAGACTATCCTTAATATTCAACGTGGATAGATTAGAGATATGACATGTCCAGAAGTGAGATTAGTTCTGTTGCCAGTTAACATGTTTGGGAAAATATTTTGTACAGCTGAGGTAAAGGGAATGAGATTTTATGATGGGATAACATACACGTACCACCCAGTGGGACTCCTTTATTTCCATAAGGTATTAAGAGCAGCTAGAATTATTCAGTGAGTTATGAGCACTTGTCTTAGATTGCAACACTTTATTTTTTTAAAAATCCCATCCTTTTCCCTCACTATGACACACACACTTATACCCACTTTCACTCATCTGGCTCTTGTGACTCAGACAATTCTAGAAAGTTTCAGGTTTTATTTACTGACTGGAACCTAGAAATTGTGAAAAATGGCCCATAACTGTATACCTTAGTTCCACAAAGAAAATAAAAATGAGGTAGCAAAGAGTTAAGATTTCTTCTATAGACTAGTGCTCACACTTGAAATGCAAATACATTCAGAGCATGAGTTAAAATGTAGGCATGCACATCCATGTTAGAGCAACTGCACACTATGAGAACTTAACAAATGCCAACTGTTCATCATTACTTAGACAATTAGTAGCAAAGGACTAAAAAGAGAATATAATTTATTCCCTTAAGACAAGTCATTTTGATTAATATTAAACCATGAGGTTCTTTATAAGAAAGATTTCTTTCCAGTAACTGTACACTCTCCACATGAGGTCATGGATCTCATAATCCTGGCAAGACAAAAATACTTCAGACCATTGCACAATATAAAATATCAGTTTGAATTCTCTGTTATAAAAATCGTCTGTAAAAATCTTGAGATAGTCTGGGAGTTCTTAGTCTGGTTCTGGAAAGTTTCCATTTGGCTGAAGACAGAAACTGAAATGGCCAGCAAATGTTAAGAATATGCTGTAACTTCTTCAACCAAAGGTAGATGACATTCACATGCAGGAGTGAAAGGAGTTAGTATCTTCAGCAGCCTGAATATGTTCATCAAAACTTTTCTGGATAGCTCCGTATCCCTTTTCTAAGAAGTCCTTCAGGGTAAGGTTCACCTGGTACATTCGCTGGCAAAGATGCTAAGGAAAAATGGATCTGTAATGTAATAAGAAAATTAGTAATGATTTTACAGTCAATATAATGAACAATGCATTTCCTATTGACAACACATTTTTCAATCCTTATCTTGCCTTTTTATATTTCTCCTCAAAATACCAATTTGCAAAATACAGCTCATCCTTATCTTTGCTTGTAAATACAATCCCAGACATATACTTGAATTACTTATGATGTCCTCTAGTATCCCGTGTGTTAAATAGAGGATCTAAAGACTTGGTTTGCAAAAGTAACCAAATATAATAGCAGCCTAAATTTCTGTTATAATATGTTTCCCCTCTCCCAGCGTCCCATCATTTTTTCTATGCCTGCTATACTTCTGGTGGAAGGGAGTACTTTTAGTCTTGAGCCTAAATGGAAGAAAAATGTTATTAGGGAAAATTAGTCATAGCAAGATTTCAGCATCCATTTGTTCATGTTGCTGCTTAATTCATCTTCCTTCCATAAAAAGTACCTGTAATCATGGCAGCACAATATCCTAAGGTTAGTGGGATAGTCTTTGTCATTTGCATGTGTGTGTATGTGGCAAAAACAAGACTTATGTGCCTTCCTCTGAAATCTCTTTGCTTCAGAGCCTATAATTTTTTTAGTCGAACGTTGGTAATTTGCTACAGTATTGTACACTGAAGGGGATTAGGGAAACCTGTAACTGCACTAGGTATTTTGGTTTACTGGAAGAGAGAAAACAGAAACAACTATTGCAGAATTCCAAAACCAAACTGCAATATATAAGGCTACTAGCTGTGTGGATTTAGCATATCTGCTAGTTTGAGCAAAGCTTTTAGCCAACTGTTTGGCATATTGATGTCCTGTAATTTTTATGGAACTTTCTGATTAGTTCCAAATAGCCTTACCTCGTTTTCATCCTGTTGTACTTTTCATTTTTCATATATAACATGAAGTCTTTGAATGAGAAACTTCTTGTCTTCTCTTTCCTGGAACACAAGACATATTTAAGATGAGCAGCAGGAAACTGACTTTCTTAATAGAATGTGGACGTTATGAATGCTAAAGCAAATACAGTACAGGATTGCTAGTTGTTTTTTTTTTCTATTTGAGTTCAGGTACCTAGAATAGGAGGGCCATTTACCTCCCTCCCCTCAACTATCTACTAACAACTAGTGTAAGTTGGATCATGTAGGAAGACAAGCTCTTTTTTCCTAAAAAAGTCACAAAGAAAAGCTGAATTGAGGGAGTGTAATCAAACTGGTGAATACTACCGACTTTGGCAATCGCTATTTAGTTACCCATTTTGGTTGAACATTTTTGAGGAAATTAGTAAGTTAATAACTAACTGTATTAGTCTGTTCTTTTTTTCCAGGACAAATAAAATGTTGCAACATTAGAAATGAATATTTTTGTTAGCTGCCGTATAACAAAGTACTACAGAAAACCAAACACACTTTTGGGGGGGGGGGATTACAGGACTTTACAAGTGTAGGAAATGGGATGGCCTGAGAATAAACACAGTCAAGTCTCTTTAAGAATTTTTTTTTTCATTTAAAAATATTTTAAATCAGATTTAGTCTCCGTTTTTTTAGCTAGTGCAGTCACGTAACTCAAAACAGATTATTCCTGTCTATAATTATCTAGTTAAATAAAAATATTAAAAATGGATAAGGATACAGGAAATGATTTGTGCCTAGAATTGCTAGGCTTGGGGGGGGGGATATCCAAATCAAAATGTATGTTTGCTCTGGAAATGGAACAAATTGGACCTGTTTTAGGTAAAAACATTTCAGTGGAGAGGGGAAGAATGGGAAAAACTAATGGCACTAGTAACAGACACAAATTCGATCTAACCAGGACCACAGCTGTAACCCAAGCGAAATCAAGAGGAGAAAGAGAATTCCTTGAAGTCTGGTTCTCCACCAGTAAGTCAATAAACAGACACATTGACATTGATGCAGTCTACCAACCGCTGAGAACGGAAGAACTACTTCAATCACGAAGGCAGCATTTAAAAGTAACAAACAGGCACCCCACCACACAGCAATAAGAATCACTACCACCAACAAGAAACCAGACTACAACAGCAGCCAAACAACGCGAAACCAGACCATGACTCGGAGGCAACCAAACGAACAAACACCATTTGCATCACACAGACGATACTTAAACACCAAGGTGTCAATGCTGCTAACGTTGGATGTTCTTGCTTTGACAACAGATGAAAATGCAGCCATTTTCTCTATGCTTTTAGAATCAGTTGGTGCTGGGAGGGGGGATTGGGATGAGAGTTCAGTTAGTCATAATAATAATAACTCTGCCCTGGGAATCCAAGGACAAACTGGGTCCAGAGCTGATAAAGTTTGGCGGGCTGGAGAGCTGGGGAGAAAGCCTGCGCTTCAAGCTAATTGGGGGATGTGCTTTATGACTGTTTATTGGTGGGAATTGTACTTTGTTACTTTGTATCCAGGGGAGGGGAATTTAGTTTTTGTGTTCAACTATGTAGTGCCAATACTTTGTTTCCCGAATAAAAGATTCTTTAAGAAAAACAATTCCTCGAAGTTCTTTTGAAGGGTTTCATCTGTTGGAACCATGGCACAAGGACTATGTCCCAGCAACAACAACCAGCCAATCAAACAGCCCGAAACCAGACCATGACTCAGCAACATCCGGACAAATAACACATCAATTTACATCACACAAAAAGGTATTTAAAGGCTAGTGCTCTGACAGACAAGCACAATTCAGAGCGCACTGAAGATGTCTCCCCCCCCCCCCCCAATGGAGACGAAACATTTGCAGCCAAATTGCTAAGCTTGGAGATCAAACGGACAGCCCCTCTGGTAATACTTGTTGGGACAGGAGGAAATGAGGGTTCTGGAAATGTGGAATTGTGTGAATGATGGTATAAATTTTGCTGATCATGCTTCCCTACCTTGTATTGGAGATGGACTGCATAAGAATTTAATAAATACAAATAAATCCAGATGTTTATATTTGTGTGTTTCAGATGAATGTATATATAACCTCAGGTTATGCAGATTTTAAAAATTTGCTTGAGGGTACTTTATTTTTCTGATAGGGTTTTTTTGTTGTTGTCCTTTTAATTACTAATACCTCTTTTTCACTCTATGTTTAAATTAGGGGAATGGCTCTCCTTTAGTACTCACATTGGCAATCTGCCCCTTCAGTATTGAAATGATACTCCGCAGACCCTTTACCATCTCAA